TGGTACTTATTACTCTCATTTGTATGTCGCCTCCTTCGCACGTATTTTATTTTTAACCTTTGCGTAAATACTTTTTTTAATATGCGCCAATTATTCCTTTCATACACGTCATAATTTTATCCTCTTTCTGAAATTTATTTTTAATAAAACAGTATAATGTCGCCCAAGAGTTCTGGCTGTTGAGAGCTTACATGTATTGCCTCTAATTTTTTTCATAATTCTTCATGAAGTGATATAGTGACTGCTATCGATTGCTCAATCACACACAGTTTCAACCACACTGTTAGTGCTTCTGTACATGCGATGTCATATGATATTATGTGTTACTTTCATTGAATAGCAGAATTGTAATAGCTGAGGGACAAAGACTTTTCTTTTTTTCAAATTTTGGCTTGACGTGAAGCATTGATTCTCTATAAAGACAAAACCCCTCCCTTATTTTTCTGTAGCTAATACTCCAGAGATGAAGGTGGGTATCTATGTTTGAAAGAAAGAAATCAATGGTAGCATCTTTATTGGATACCAGCCATACTTTCAGCATGGAAAAAAATACCTTCACCCCCTCAATCAGCTCAACAGAAGTAAAGGCAAGATCACCTGCTATGTACTTTAACATTGCCAGTGCACCAAATACGCCCCTATGATGATCGAAGCATGTTTTGTTTCAAGCAACAAGAGCTCTGCCTTTCTCAGACTAAAGAGCTTGATCAGTCCATCAGACCTGTGTTGGCTCGTATCATTGAAATATAGCTCGTGAGCTTTGAGCTGTCTGCTCATGCTTTTCAGCGTAGACTGCCCTTGAAAGAAGTCAGCTTGATAATCGCTTGGCTTTATATTGCTGGCAATAATGTCAAGGTAAGGTCATATAAGGAGCTGAATAGAAGCATCTTCTGTTGAATTATGATCAATATATGAAGTATAGGGCTTATGGCTAGTAAAACATACATTCTACTTTCTATTTCTTTGCCGCATCAAATAAAAATAAAAATAAGAAACAACAATACATACATAAATAACTCTGCTTACGACGTTATTGTAAACAACAGTCGTAGATCATCTATCCAAGCAAGATTTTAAAATAAATTGAATATAGTATGTCGCGTTGATGACCATCAAATCTTGTTTATACAAGATCAAATGTAATTAGCTTGAATTGAAAAGTAAAAATAAAACAAAGAAAAGCTAAAATAAGTCTTTATAAGAGAAAATTTTGTAAGGTAATTGAAGGGAAAGCGATACTGTGATTAGATTGATTAAACTGAAGATCCTTTATTTTCAAAATTATATGAGTAATTATAAGGAGAAAGTAATTAGGAGTAAAACAAATAACACAGTTGAATCACATAGTGCGGGGACATTATGTTGTAACTTTGTAGATCTTGGGTTTGAATGTGTTGTAAAAGGTAATAAAAATAGAAGTTTTTGTGTTCGTAATCTTTGTAAGGCTTGACGTGACATTTACACACTACATACGTTGTATACATAACATATATCAGTTTAGAAACTCACTTATATAAATGGTCTAGAAGCTTCATTGAGGTATAACTGCAAGGGTAACACTTTGATATTGAATAAAAGCCCCCACAAAGTGTAGAAAAGTAAAACCCCCTACGCATCAATAGCCATATATAAGCCAATAGGACATTTACTTAATAAACACATTATTCTTTTGTCCCATTGACTTTACGACTTAGTACTTTATATTCAACAAATATCACACCTGAGATTCGTAGCAAAAATGTTAAAAAGATAAAGTTATAATAAGGGCTCGATGTGTAAATTTGATTAGACTGAGTTGTACAAAGTAAAAAGAATAATAAAGAAGATAAAAAGGTTCCTGAATCCACTTGATTGAATAATTCAGAAGTAAATAAAAGATAAAAATAAAAAGAAAAGGTTGTGATTCAAGTCGTAAATGATTTTTTGCAAAAGCATCGCTCTTTTATACTTGTTAAAAAGTAATTAGAGTTTTGATAATTATAGTTTTGATAATTATAGTTTTGATAATTATAGTTTTGATAATTATAGTTTTGATATTTAAAGTTTTTTTTTTTTTTTTTTGAAAACTGTTGTAATTTGTAAGTCTGTGAGTTTATGAGTTTTACCAGTTGAGATATAAGAGAAATTTCGTATAAAGTAAGTCTTAATTGACTTGGTAGAATGTTAAGATATGAAAAGGTTTAAAAGTAAATAAAAGTTTGGTTCGAGTTAGTGACCACCAGATCTAAATGCTAGATCAAAATAAGTAAAGTAAAGAAAAATAAAAGAGAAGTTTATAAGAAAAGGAAAGGTATAAAAGGGAGTTTTGATTCAAGAGACTTGAGGATTTATTTCGTTGTTTTTTTTGTTTAAAGAATACCAAGGGTATTTATATAAAAATAAGCTTCCATAATAAGACTATCAAGGTCAATGACCTTGGAGTTTGGCCATGACCTTGGAGTTGAAGAGGAAGCATTTGGACGAATTAAAGTTCCGAAAAAGGAAATTGTGCTTCACTGTGCTGCAGTACCAAATCTGTCACAATGGCACTGAATGAATGAAGGATGTTGTTTGAAGTAAACTTTTGAATTCTTTTCGTTACAATATAGCAATGGTTGACGTTTTTTTTAATTGATGCATTTCTGTAAGCTTGACTTCTTTCACTGCAGACAGTGTTAAGCTCGTCACTGGCTCTTGTTTTTTATTCTAACGACTCGCAAGTCAAGGCTACTTCAGGCATATCCCAGTACTCGAGAAAATAGAAGCGACAGATAACTTTGCATTTTTAAAGCTTTCTTCAGAAGGAAGGCTGCAGAAGTATATTCCCCACAACAATTAAGTGTAAGACATTTGTATTATGCAATTCATCATTTAATATATCGGCTTTAGGTTCAGCACTGAAATCGATTGCACGACCTGCATGTTATTTCAGCGCCTGCAAAGTTGTGTATGTGTTTGTCGGTCTTTCAAATTCTTGTCACGTGATGTAGTTTTTTGTTCATATATTTTTTTGGAAAACGTTGTTCTTCTTACTTTATTTTTCACTTAGGAGAGGTATTCTTTCATTCTTTAGCTATTGGAGATGTCTCCATTGTTCGGGAAGGCTGCTCTTTTTCTTTTTTTAGTTTCAAAACCTCCACTGCGAAAGTACAAATCTGAATTTTGAATCTCAGCTTTGCGCTATCTGTTTCTTCATTTGTTATAAACTGTTTTTATTTTGCACTGCTGTTGCTGAGGTCCCACTGGGCTCTTACAAGTTTATAGATATACTATTTCTTTTTATTACTTTTCGTGCCTACAATTTCGCTCTTACATTTTCAGTATTCTCAGATCCTTCATTTCAAGCATCGTTGTATATTACAAATGCTTTTTTAGCACTCAATGAGCCGTTTCTGCAGTTTCTTGTTATGTTTGGAACGAAACACCTCATTTGAAGCTACAGAAATTCGGTTGAAGGCTATGAATGTGATTCTCAGGCTTGCCGGGATGACTTAGGGATTTCCGCTCAAAGCAAGCGTATTCAACAAATACAACATCATGCTTACAATAAACATTGATTGGTTCCAGCCATTTATCGGCGTCCAACGTTCTTCTGAAAGAATCTAATTCATTATTCAAAATCTACCAAGAGCTGACAGAAAATAAACAACGAATATTACTTGTGCAGCTGTTCTACCTAGCCAAAAAGAGCCAAAAACCAACGAAATGATCAGCTATCTTGCACCGCTCGTGAGTGAATTGCAGATGCTGTTTCAGGTCGTACTTATGGATGTTGTTGATGGAGCAGTTCAGAAGAAGAAGTTACAAGTAGCAGTAACAAGAAAGGGAACAATAGTAGTGTATTGTTTTAAAATTGATACAAAGATTCTTTTGTAAAACAGCAACATATCAGGATATTGCCCTGTACTAAGGTGGATGTCCATAATAGCCACAATAAATTGAGGTACAATTTGAATAAAGTGTAGAGACGATCCTTTTCCTTAAAGCATTAGAGCAAATATACACAATTTCTCAATTTCACATTCAAAGGGACTAGACGACTAATAAAGGGGAGGAGATGTGGTATATTTATCTTACAGTTATCTACATTCTATTGTTCTAATATGCGTCCATATATATTGCTTCTAAATCATCTCCGCATCTGATTACCTCTTCTGTCTCTCTATTTCCTTTCAATGTTTGTTCAAAATGGTTTTTGTAATCTTTATACATTTGAGCCTTGATGAAATTCAAGTCGACCTTGGTTTTTCGTTTCTTGGTCTTATCCATCAAGCTCTTGATAGTCTTTTCATCAATCTTCATTTGTTCTAATGACTCTGAATTACCCAAGAGGCATTCCAAGTTGTTCGCAGGCCCCATGTCCGCTTCGAGTTCGCGAATAGTGTCTAATAAACTGCAACTGACTCCTTCTGATATTTTCTCTTCATTTGAAGGCGTCAAGCAGGGCATATTGGGTTCTTTTCGTAAAACATGATCTATATCCACAGCAGAAAAGAAAGCAACACTCTATATAGAAATTTTAAGTAAAAGAAAGTATATCATGCCACAGTGTACATACTTGAGGCAGATTATGAATACCCAGCTTGTAACTAAAGAAGGCTCTAGTCCAGATATTGGCTACTTGCAAAGCAAATGCAGTTCGCTGCTTATCCTCTGCGCTTGACAAATACCGCACCTCGTCATGAACCGAAAGCATAAATCTTGCATTAATGTTATACCGCCTTATCAAATGATTCATCGAGACGATCAAAAGGTGTAAATAATCCACTCCTGAACTCTGAACGACCCAGTTGACTCTTGACGTCAAAAATTGAGCCTTCGCGTATTGAGGTTTTAAAGCATCGGTGATGGCGCAGTGCAGAACGGGTGTACGTGGTTCTCGGGACAAGGCTATATCTTCAAGTGCATTAAACATGTAGCTTTCCGAACCACCGTGCCAGAAAGTGCGCTTGAATATGTTTTTCGAAGAGTGTTCCTTTTCACCTTTGGTTTCTGAATACAGCTCCAGCGCACGCTGTTCCGCTGTCTTTTGATCGATACCTTGGCTATATTGCGACAGTAAGCTCGTCGCGTACTTTACGCCAGCTCCATAAATTCTGGCATAGTTGAATATCTTTGCTTTATCTCGACTGATGCCTAAAATATTGGCTGTTTTTGAGTGGAGATCCGTGCCTTCTGACTTTGAGCCTTGAAGGGTCATCCAGCCTAAGGCAGTTGCGCCATGAAAGCCAAACTGTGCGTCACCGATAACACTAGATATCCAGAGTTCTTCGGAATCAACGTCTGCGCCTACAATCTTGTATCCTTCTGGTGCCTGCACCATGGACTTTAGCTCTGATCCAATACGATTCTTTTTGGCGTTGCTTGCAGTCAGCCATGTTTTTTCAACAGCACGTCGAGTGATGGTGCCCATGGTAACCATCTGCGGTAAAATCATACCATACTTTCCTTCTGATTTTTGAGGCAGATGCATATGAACCGATGAATTCGAATCCCAAACGACAAACTGGCCAAGAATTCTTTCCCTTGAACTGATCCAATAAGCTGATGTTGCGTTTAATTCAAGGGCTTCTCTAGCTGCTTCGTATTCTGAAGTAAGGATTTTGTCTTCAAATGAACTGATGTAGCTCTTGGCTAAAGGGTTTCCGCAATTCGCATCTTCACCATCCTTGTGAGGTACCTTGAAATAGTGATATGTGTCGTCTCTTGCTGCTGCCTTACTGCTTTGATCCACCGCCACCTCTGAGTTAAGTATCTTGTAGCACCATCCGTTACTTGGTATATAGTGTAAAGGGTATCCGTTCCACTTTAACCGTAGCAAGATCGGAGCAATGCGTGACCGTGTGGATATTTTCAAAGTAGCTGTCTTGGTATCATATGCATCTTTATACCATTTTGGTGATCCTTTCAATTTCCTCTGTCTAGGATTGACAAACCAATCCAGCTGGCTTAGCCAAGGGTCATTCTGCCAGATCACCGGGTCATCTACGAGTACTCTTGCCTTTTCCGCCAAATCGCGTATTTTTACATCAAGCATGTCGCTTAGTTCTTTATGCTTCCCTGAAGACTTTTGCAAATAGTCTTCCCACCGCTCTGTTACTGTCAAAAAGGAGCTACCCATATGAAGCATACCAGCAAAGGAAACAGGATGTGGACAGTTCTTGCGAAAGATGGGAAACACGGCTTTATAGACAGCATGGGTTAGAGCAACATCCTTTGCACAATAATCCATAAGTTCATTAAATTGAGTGTGTACATCCGATAGACTGCCGGTTTCAAAGATAGATCGCTGAGATTTATCGATATTTATTTTACAATGAAATTTTGCAACGTCCTTCAGGCTGTTCAAAGAGCTCACGTCAAAGAATGTCTGCTCGTTTGATGACGATTCTTGATCTCTGCGTCTCAATTCAGCATTCCATGCAGGTCGTTGTTGAGAGCATAAACCAGATACTGCAATATGCAGACTCATCGTGTCAACATATCTGATATTTGAATCCATTCGACTATACTCTTCTGCAATCCTCGCTCGATCGTATCCTACGTTATGCCCAACGATGATCCTCTTGTCGTCTCTTCTTCCAAAGGGTATCAACTGCTCTTTGCTTTTTGTCTGGTCAAGTAAATAGGGTGAGGTCCATGAATACCACGCTTCCTCTGAGGCCGCAACGGCAATTGTTGGATAATTTCCTTCAGACATCAACACTTCTACATCAAAGACCATGGTATCTTCAAGTGGGTAACCTACAGCTGTTATTGTTCCATCCTTTCCATAACGTGTCCATCCGGCTGTTTTCTTCCACTGAGTGGGTGTCGGTGGTATATCAATCGAGACAAGCTTTTCACATTGTGATAAATAAGGTTCTGCCTGTTCAAGCCCAATTCGTATAAAGTGTTCTTCCAGATTTTTTCCCATGAGCTTTGGCAGTTTGACATCAATAGGATCCTCTTTCTGTGGTGTCTTGCCCCAGATACCCTGCAGTTTAAGATGTTCCTCAGCGTATTTCTTCTTTAAAGAATATTCCTGGTTATTAATCTTTGATTCTTGAGACTCGTAAGGTTCGAATAGTTGAGCGTGTAAGCTTGGAGAAAGTAGCTGGACGTGCGCAGGGTTTATTTTAACTTTTTAATAAATAGCTTGTCAATAAAAATATAAATAAATAAAGGGAAAACTTACCATTATTTGTAGACAAGAACCTTGTACAATTATGTGCTCTATAACGTGTACATTTCACTGTTTGTTGTAAAGTAGATCTACTGATCATTTAACTGTCAGAAAAAAAAATAAAAGATTTTTTAATTTCTCAGCATTTCCATTGTTTGCATTGTCGGAAGTGTATTTGATAATTTTTAGGTCGGGCAATTTTTGTGTAGCCATTACAGTTTATGTGTATGATCCCTATTCCTGCTGTAAGATCTCATACCGCTATTCTCTTTACTTCTTTCTATACTACACTAAAGACAGATAATAAAAAAGAGGTTAGGCTCAGTACTCTGGTATGATTACATTATATATGCATTTTTATGCAGATATGTACACACGCATACACTTTATTAGGTAGATTATACATTAATAGTACCATTCATCAATTCTTCCACACTTAGTTTCTCTCTTATTAATGTTTTACTGTTGTTTTGCTCTGGTATATGTTCTGAATATTGCTTATGAGTCAACAAAGTCTTTAGCAGATTCCTTGATGGCCCTGTATTCCTTTGTGTGTACTTTTTGGATGATGGTGCCATATTTCCATACTCTGTTGGTATTATTGGCTGTTGTGGTAAATCAATACGATTGAAGAATTGATAGGTTGTTCTTGCTGCAACGATGAGTATCCAATGAATCTACACTGTGTAAGTCAGAGTATGTATAAAGAAACAGAACTTACATAAACGATTGACATGACTACAAAGCATAAAAAGGCCCATTTAACTTCATCCTCATATAGTCTCTCACAATTATATAGATCAGATCCACTTTCCAATGTGATTGGTGGTACTTTTGTTGAGTTGCTGTTCATTTGATCATAGACTTCAGCCACGTAACTTGCTGAAGAAGTAACGCACCATTGAAAGAAGCCTTCTTTATCAATGACGAATAAGATAAAATTAATCAAGGTGACAATAAGCACTGCAATTGCATTAGCCGTGATCGTAAAGACAGTCTTTCTGGACTGATACATTCCCATGATTCTAACATCAATCCTAGGCTGCAGATAGATAATGAGATATATGTATGTGTGTGTAACGAGTTGATGAAAACAAGTTACCCTGAATAGAAGTAGAACAATACCGCATAGAGTGACAATACCAAACAATAAATTGACTGCACCAAAGACAACAAGAGGTACCGTTTGGACATACGAGTAAAAGGCTGACTAGTCATTAATGGGTAATAATAATAGTAATTATAATAATACATACGACTCTTTTGAAGAAATGCCAGTACAGCAAAATAAAAGCTCAAGGCCTAATATATAATCATAAGATACATACAATTTATATGCATATAATTAAATTATTACAGCCCAAAAGAAGCAGACAATGATATCGTTTGCAGAACTATCAATGCATCCACAGCAGTACGCTCTGAACCTTCGATCGTTATATCTTTGAATGTTAACCTGGCGAGCAACATCAGGGACCATTATCATTTTGTCAAGTCAAACAAAAAAACAAGAAAAAAAAGAGAAAGAGAATGTGTATACATGAGTCTTTATCTGATGTGCAACATGTTATTGAAGATGTCTATAAATGGCAACACAAACAAATCAAGTAAAAGTGTTTTGTACATGTTGGCGAATCGTTCCTAATGGATTCTCCTTGAAGGCTCCAGTCTGCATCACTTTTTGCATACGAAGTATTTCCTGAAGTCTATAACAAAGTGAGTATTTCCTGTCTATTGCTGAATCTCCCAACTTACTCTGCTTGTTTCTTTGCCTTTTTTGATTTGATCTTATTGGTTGGTATTGCTGGTTCTTTCTTTTCTTCTTCCATATTTACATCCTTTTTGTTAGTTTTTGGTTTAAATTTGATGGTATCCAAGACTTCTCCAATATTGCTCAGATCTATGCCCAAGTTGTTTTGTCTCTTGATTTCCTTTTTCTGTTGCTTTTTTTTTAATGCATAAGAACGATCAAGTTCTAATAAGAATTGGTTGAGCTAATCACCAAAACTAATGAAAGAAGAGAACTCACTCTCAAGCCAAGCTTCATGTCTTTGCTTCTTTTTGACATCCTTTGTCACCAAATCTACTGGTTTAGCTGGTATTACACTAATATCGCCTTCTTGGTAGACTATTTTCTCTTCAACCTCTTTTCCTTTTACTGCAAACTTTCTTTGATTCAAAGGTGTTTCAACACTCCTTGATCTAAGCTTTGATCTTGTCGCTTTGCCCATTGCTTAAAAAAAACTAAAAATAAAAAAAGAGACCTTCGTGACTTAAAAATGAAATTTTGCAGCAAGTAAAAATAAACATGACTTCTCGAGATATAACCTATCGCCCTCTCTGTCTCTCTTTCTATCGCATTGTATTAACATTATGATTGGTTAATATCTTCATATGTTAACAATAGATTGCCTGTACTCTTCTTTAGTATTTCAACAGTAACAAGCTCATGAGAACAGATAAACCTATGTATGTGTGTATTTATGTGCTGATAATCTCTGTAATAGAGTGTTTTTCTTTTCTTTAACTGAATACTCACTCTATTACAACTACAACCCACTGTCATCAGTAAAAAATAACATAAATCATGCAAATGTGATAGGCGGAGTTTAGGATTCTGTAGAAAACTGGGTATTTCTCTTTTTTCCTTTATTTCTTCTTCATTACATTAAAACATGACATTAATTTACGGCTATGAAATGGGTAAGTTACTATCACCCTTTACTCTTTGTAAGCTGACTTCACTCAACCTATGACAGACTCTATTCCAGGGCAAGTTGGTCATGTCATTTCACCACCCCTATTATCAACAAAGATCACTCTTTCAAGTGCCGGAAATACTACCCGATGGATATTTTTTGGAAAACGCCAGGAAATTATTGATTGGATTAGAGAACATTCGGATATCATAATAGAGAATACACTTTTTGTTGGTGAAAGCAGTGGACATACACATACAGAAATAGTCATTGATCTTCAGCAAGTGAATGATAGCGAACAGAGTTACTATGACTACATAAAGTCATTTTTTGTAAACATTTATGATGTAGAACGAGTAAAAGTAGAGATTAGACCTAGAGTAGAGTCTAAGGATAATATGATCACATGCTTAAACAGAGTTATCGTCGCTAGTGGAACAAGGCTAGGTGATATTGTCGATGACCTTCAAACCGAATGGTTTAAGCCTGCAGAGAGCTATGTTCAACAAGCGGCTCATCTTTTAAATGATGAACCTACACCAAGTCATGTTCTCAGTGCTAAACCCCCATCGTCAATTCAGATTACAAATGAGGGCCATTAATAATATAATGGACCAGATGAGTCTATATTTTACTGTATAAAGTTAAAATAAACATTCGCAACTATTTAATCAAAAGTGATCCTCTTGTAAGCGCTTGAGCAACTGATCCCTTAATGGCACTACTACATTTACAAGCTACTAGTAAAAATCATTATCTCAAAAGGGAAACCGTGTTCATTACGGCGATTAAAAAACAATTAATTTCTGCTATGCTGGAAAGGTCAACCTCTTCTATCCCAAACCGAAAGGGAAATGGACAGCATATTCTTGCAAGCGTTGATATCTCGTTGCCATAGTGCCTTGCAGATATTGCAGACCTGGACACTACAGCCTTTCAAGCCGGGCATACTTGTGAGGAGATCACTATTACGCGCATTGCAAACTTTGGAAGTCTTGTATTCATCAATTGTAACGGCAATGAGATCTCCAGCTGTCTCTCTTCTTTTTAGCGCTCGCCAAAAAACACCAGTGGCGCCACACCTGTTTCTCTTCAGTTTTATCGAGTCTTTGCCAAATATTCCCACACCAAAGACTACAAGGGACACTTTCTCTCTTTCCGTTTGGAACTTTGCGGGCTTCCACTTTTGGCTTCTTTAAAACAATAATTAGATAAGGATTAATTATCAAAGCTAAAATTGATTACATACCTATTTTTGGCAACTTGGTTCTTTTTTTCTTTTGGATTTACCGTCTGTTTTTGCTTCTTCTTGCTTCTTTTTTTCTTCCTATTTCTCTTCTTTCTGTTCTTCTTATTATACTTGGCGCCTCCATGTACAAGCATGTTCACCATTTCTTCTGCTGCTTTTTGTCTGTCTTGATACAAATAGAAACGATCCTTTGCTATTTTGTAATCGTAGAAAGCGAATGAGGCGACAATGTGAGTAAGAATATATTTAATGTAGACGAGGTAAGCAGCGCATTGTGATGCTTTAGGAGAGGGTATATTGGTTTCAATTTCTTTTATGCCCTTTTCAGTCTTAAGCTTTTCTAGCTTTTTGTGTACTTTGTTGATCCGGTCATATGGTAATATTCAGCCGTTGAGCAGCGTCTTATTTGATGGTTGGCTGTATCTAAACCAACTACAACGATGAACACGGTTTTTCTCCCAGGATCAAGAAACATGGGCTGGTATGTTTGCTTTACTTCTTCCAAGCCAAAATCTTCAAGCTTTAAATCAATGTTTGCTATTAAAGAGGTATCTTTTGTTGTTCTTTTGTTGAATACAAAATCAACTGAAAATCCGTCAGACTTGACAGTATTTGCAAACACGATCCTGTTGTTCTGGTTAGGAAACAAATCGTCGATACTATTCAAATAAACAAAAAAAGTTACTGAGTATTGTACAAGTAAGCAATCTACAGACAAGATTTTACCTGTCGATTCTCAGTTTTCTGAAATTGAAAACTCTGCAAAACATTCTTAGCTGATCGTTGTATCCCCGTGGTAAAGGTTCTTTAACAAAGGCAGATAAAGAATTTGCGCTGATATTGATGCATCGCCAGTGCAGCGATGGGTTTGGTAATACAGAAAAAAGCCTACGCAGAGGTAGTCTTCTAACATCATAAGCATGGTGCTCTTTATGTTCTTCTTCATATTTCGATAGTATATACAAAATACAAGGCAAAAAAGTACTTGAGACGCAGACAATTCCTTTAGTGTTACTTGTGTGGTTATAAGCTGCTGCAATGGCAGGCAAGCCTCATCAGCTGCTGTTTTTGTTTCTTGAGTGAAAGTAACACCTTGCGGCCATTTAGGCTCTCCTTTGCATACAGATTGATAACAATAACCATAAGCCATTTTATTCACGTCTTGGGGCACCATTGACTATATATCACGAATTATTACATGTTCTAGTAGAATATTTCGCAAAAAATGAAACTTACCACAAAAGTGTATTGAATAAGATATGAAAGGTATTTAAGCAATCTTGCTTCAAAGTTCTCGACTATGCAGTTTGTGTATGTGGTCGCTAGTTGTATACATGCCTCTGAAAGACACTGGCTAGTTCTACTAGCAAGTTTTTTTGGTATATATGACGCTTCCATGACTTTGCCTAAACAAATTCCAGTTTTCAAGTAAACCTTCTGGAAGTGCAGCACTGTTCGTCACTCGCTTATCCATAACTAATTGACATATTGAATACCAAAAAATTTGTTTAAAGATATGATTCGAATGGACTTTTAAGTTCAATGTGTACTGGTTGATAAAAAGCTGAGCTCTGAAAACTATTTGCTGCGTGTCTTCACATGCAGAGATGATCCTATACTTCAAGGCACTCTGGTAGGAACTGTGAATGCATTAAATTGTTGTCCTAAATTTCGGCTAAAAAGCTCGTTTTTTGACAATATATAATTAGGGCAATCTGGAGAGCGTGCTGACTTATGGCCAGTTTGTTTACAACTACTACAAACAATCGATGAAGAACATGCTGCTGTTTTTTGTTTTTCTTGCTTCACGCCTGAGCTTTGTTTTCTTTTTTTTTTCCAGTGGATGTTCCAATTTTAATAAGAGATCTATTAAGTTTCAAATATTAGTTTACAATAATGAGTTACCATTGTCTGCAGAAGCTTCTTTATAAAATTTGCATTTATAGTAACTTTTGTTAGCGTGTCCTATCTTCTGACAGTCTTTGCAAATCGTATCTATATTATATACCAATGTATCAGTGAATATTTTACAAATGCCATATGCGTTATATGAGATTTACCTTCAAACATATCATCTATGTTTCCTGTCGATTTTCTTTTATTAATGACTTGATCTTTCTTCTTTTGAATAATGTTTTTAAACGTGTCAATATTGTTGTCAAAGTTGAGTAAAAAGAGAAAGAAAGGAAGAAAGTAATAGGTTCATAATTTCATTTTATTTTGAAACTTTTTGTGGTCAGGGATAAATGTGGGTCAAATCAAGAGGCCATATGAGTTCTTCTAAACGATTGATGCTTATCTTATTACATAGTTATTCATATCGATAGAATTTCTTTCACAAACAGGTCCTTTTTAGTTGCTTCTGACGACTGACCACAGCTACTCAACTGTGTTTAGCTCTGACGAAGAGGGTGATAAACTTTTTCTCAAAATTATTGGCACACTTTAAGAAATCATAAGCACTGTCGTATTTACCCTATAAATACTTAACATTATCGTATGAGATTACTATAAATCTCTACTCTAAAAAAGAGTACTACAAAGAGACTGACTACAAAACATGTTATTATCTAATAATGCAACATACCCAATTCTTATGGGTCATAACTATATCGGTTACTTAATAATTAAGTCTTCACATAAAATGACGCTGTTTTTAATAATGAGCTTTTTCTCGTCTTGTATACAATAAAGAGATTATATAGAGACTCATCGACTTATACTTTCCTTATTGCCTCTTTATATATTCGAGACATATCACAAGCACGAACTAAAATGTTCCTAATGTCTTTTGATGCTTTGAATGTTTTGTCTTTTATGCTTCAATAGGCAGGACGGAGAGTCTCTTTAGCTTTGTTTTGATTACTGTTGTCTTTCGATCCCCCATGAGCTACTGAAGTACTTTTTGGTTTGTTGACTTTCGATTTGGGAATAAGGAAGATCTTGCATGCTTGTGTCACTTTTGGTGCAACTTGCACAAACATCGCCTTCTTCTTTCCTTTTTTGATCTTAATATTCTCTGCTTCACTTACCCTTTTTCTCTTGGTTATATTATATTTCCAAAAATTATTGACACTGATGCCAAGAGTAAAATTCGCGTTCGTTAAATTCTATTGTCACGTAAACCATTGGCTGATTTCGCTTGCTGACAAATTGAATGTCGTATATGTAGGAGCCCTGTCGTACAAAATATGAGTATATTAAGCACGAAAGCACCGTTAGATCTTTTTTTTTTTTTTACTTCCTTTCTCATTAAAAACCGAGTATTACAATATGAGCTTTCAAATTTTCTACGAAGACGGGCACGGTAATGCAGTTGATGAATATGGTAGACCTGAGCCTATGGACTATACCATTGACAAAGAGCGATATGCTTTAGAAACAGTTAGTTCACACACTCAGTATTTGTATAATCAGCCTCAGGAGAATAATTTCGATGTAGGCTCTGTGGCAGATGAAAATGCAAAAGATGACCCAGATGTTTGCATGAAGGAGGCGTCGAGTAAGCGAGCGTATACACTCTATACGGATCAAGACAAAGTTAGATTCTTTAAACTGATGTTTGAGAAAGTTATGAGTGCTTCAGCTGCTGCAAAACAATTAGGTATTGATGTTCGCACAGCTCAAAGATGAGCTCAAATGTACAAAACGGATGCTGATAGTGTTTTTATAAAGCATAAGAAAACCGGTCGCTCGCGTATACTTCAAGAAGAACACAAGCAAGTG